GTGGGCCGGCGTGGCGGGCGCTCCCTCTCCCCCAGGGGGCGCCCCGACCGGGCACCCGAGCGGGCGGAAGCAGAGGGGGCGCCAAGCTGCGGGAGACGAGGCCATGGGCGCGCGCGTCGGGGCGCTGCTGCTGGCGCAGCTGCTGGTGCGAGTGGAGCTCGGGAGGCAGGGGGGGGTCAGGCGGGGGCCGCCGGCCGGCGTCGGGCTGCTGGGGGGGCGGCTGGGGCGCGCGCAGACCGGGCGGAGCTCACCCGCCCGCCCGCCCCCCAGAGTTTCAGGATCAGGACCAGCTGTTTGCAGGTAAGGCGCCCAGGACGCGCGCTTCCCCCCGCGGGGCCCCTGAGCCGCAGCGCAGAGGGCGCCTCATCTTCTCCTCTCCTCCGCCCAGGTTTCGAGAACTCGTCGTTGCTCACGTGTAACTGCCGGGCCCCTGGGGGGAGGGGCGGGCGCCCGCGGACCACGTGGGGAGGGTCCCGGGGTCCCCTGGTCCCCCTGCGGCGCGACCCCCGACGCGCGCCCTTCCCGGTTCCCGAAGGGGAGCCCCTTCCCTTCGCGCAGGAGGACGGGGTCCTGCCACTCAGCCGCGTGTCCGTCTGTTCGTCCCAGGGCCCTGTGGCCAACGAACCGTTTCGACGCGCGTGGTGGGCGGAAAGGACTCGGAGCTGGGGCGCTGGCCGTGGCAGGGCAGCCTGCGCTTATGGGGCTCCCACCACTGCGGAGCGAGCCTGCTGAACCGCCGCTGGGTGCTCACGGCCGCGCACTGCTTCGAAAAGTGAGTCTGGGGGCGGGCAGCCCACTGATTGGCCGGCCAGGTCTTGTGCGCCCTCCGGGTTCAGATTCTCCTGAGCCCCAGGACCAGCTGCAGCCATGTGAGGAAAACCTCGTTCCCCTTCTTCTAGAACGTTCTTCAGAACATTCGCACGCACTTTGATGTCGTGTTCTTTTCTGTCTTCTTTTCTCCCCAAATGGCAGCACCAGGCGTCTCCTTCCTCATCCCACGGCCAGGTGGAGGCGTACTAGGGGGTGGAAGGAGGTGGGGAAGTGCTGGGCACAGAGCCTGGCCTGTGGCGAAGGTGGTGTGGAGTTTTCCACCTGCTCTGGTCCTGTGCATCTGTTG